TTTTTCGATCTCTCAGGACTTCTATATATACGTTCCTGGGTTCATACCTCAAGCTGGTATCTGAAAGAATACCTTTCGAGAGAGAGAGAGAGTGAAGTTTTTTCTCTCTTCTTCTAACCGAGAATAAATAAACTGTACTTCATGGTTCTCTAGAAAATACAATCTAGCTATTCAATTCAAATGGAAAACAAATAACTATGGGTTCTATAGAAAATTTCCTTGCTGTCATTTCTAACCCCCCGTCCGGCATATTGTTTACAAGTGTACAAAAGCATTTTGGTGAGAATTTTCCCACAAAAAAATTATTCGTGATGGAATTCATGCGTGATTTCTTTATATTTGGCTGGAAAGCCACAAGTGGCTATCATTAGAGCACTCCAGTATTTAAATGTGAATAAATCTTTTGTGTCTCGTACCATCGCTCGTTAGCGTGATACTGGTAGCGTAGCCCGACTCCAAGGAAGTGGACGGAAGAAAACAGCAACATCAGCAGAAATGGTTCGAAAAGTAAAGAAACGACTTGATCGATCGCAGTGGCCGACGCTCGTGAGCTGAACATACTGCAATATTCCATTCGACAAATATTGAAAAATGAGCTCGGGGTAAAGCCATTGAAATTCCAAAAAGTGCAAGAATTTACACCGGAACAGAAAGAAAATAGACTCAAAAGAGCTAAAGAGTTGCGCTTAGCCGAACTTGGTGGTGAATTGCCGAATTTGGTTTTCTCTGTCTCCGATGAGGAAACATTCATTGTCCAGCAGTTTGTAAACAAACAAAATGATTGTGTTTACTTGCCAAAGAGGTCAGCTGACAATGTGCACCTTCGGAAAATGGTCACCGGAACTCAAGCGCCAGCCATAGTGATGGTGTGGGCCGCCATAACAGCCGATTGTCGCTCTCTGCTCGTATCAATCGACATCAGAATAAATGCCAAATATTATCGCGAAAATATTCTGGAGGGGGTATTAAAGTCTTAGCCACGCAAACATTTTGGCCGCAGACCTTGGATATTTCAACAGGAATCAGCACCATCGCACTCAGCACGCGCCACCCAAGAATGGTTACAAAATGAGGTTCCTCGCTTCTTTTTCAGCGCACAATGGCCACCAAAATCTCCGGATACCAATCCGCTGGTGTGGAGTATTTGGAAAACAAGGTTGGCACTAAAATAATACAAAAGTGTTGATCACGTCAAGCAAGCGCATCACCGGGAACAACAGAACAACATTCGGGCAGCGTGTGACGGTTTCATTGGTCGTTTGAAGGCCATAATTCGAGCCAAAGGTGACCAATTCGAACAAATCTAAACTTATTTTAAAATTTGTTGCTCTTTCCGACATTTTTTGCTTTCATTCAATAAAATTTCAAAAAAAAATATAAAATTTTAAAAATATGGTGTTTGACTTTGTGGCAGTTTTTTTTATCTCACCCTGCATATCTTAATTCCAGATTCCAACAGAGATGTCAATATCAACTTTGAGTGTTCCAGCCCTATTCCTTCACCCAAGTTTAGTACCATTGAGTATTTTTCTTACAATTATAGCACAGATTTCCGAAATCATCTCAATATGTCCAGGTTACTAATTTCAGATAATAACAAAATTCAGATATCAAACACTATCTGTTCAACCAATACCAAATTGTACCAAATATAGTACTATTTAGTACTTTTCGTACGGTTGTAGTACACATTTCCAAAACCATTTCTTTATCAGAAATCTACCACCAAAAGGGATCCCAATACAAAAATTCCAGTTTCTTCCTTTCACCCTATTTGAATCCTCTACAAAAATATGTCATTTAAATCTTATGCCGAAGAAGAGGGCCTTATAATCTCAAGGTTTGCTATGAAAGCTCTTCAGGTCGTAAGAAGTTCGAAAGGAGATTTTGAGGTCAATTTTTCTAAGTAAGGACAAGATATTCAGGTCATTTATTAAGAATGTTCTAAAGGATCTGAGCTATTCTATGAAAGATTTTTCCTAGACCTAGATTATATACCTCAAGCCTGTTAACTGTAAGAATATTTCAAGCTGGTCTCTGAAAGGAGATCTTAGGAGAGAGAGAGAGAACTTTGTTTTCTCCCTTCTTCTATCGAAGAATATATTAAGTGTCTGTTATTATTTAATATAATCCAATAGATATTTCGAACACAATATGATTACAATCTAAGATGGTTAGAAACAAGATTGGTTTTAATGGCGCCCAACCTGAGTTAGTGATATATTATATTTTAGTGATGTACTATATATATTCAAAGCTTACCTCATATTTTATAGGCATATTTTTTTTTGTATTTTTAGCTTTTCCTTGATGAAGTGGCGCCTAACGTGGGGCAAAATATCTCTAAAACGAAAATTGTAGTTGGAGCAGGTTTGGCATTTCTTTTTTGGGAAATCGCATTTAAAAAATAATAAATTCCATTCTATTTAAAGCAGATTTAACCAGTAAAGAAAGTCGGCGGGGCCGACTTTGTGATACCCTACACCACTTTGCTAATTTAGTAGAGCTGCGCATAACAATTAAAAGTTTTTATGGGAGAATTCAATCATACACGCTATGATTATAATTATAATTTAAAGTTCAAAGGACTAAATAAGCCGAAGCATTTGTATCTTTAAAATTCCGACTTGTATTGCCCATTTCGTGCACAATTAATTTGAAATCGGATAAAGATATATATGGGAGCTATATCCAAATCTGAACCGCTCCCGATAAAATTTAGCAAAGATATTTCTGAGCTGTATTTGATATATATCCCTGAATATCGTTGTTACGGAGTGCATATTACGGTTGTGGGTAACAAATATAACAAATCGGATGAATAATATATATGGAAGCTATAGCTATATCTGAACCGATCTTCACCAAATTTGACATATTAGCTTCTAGACTCAATTCGGTCGTAAGTGCCAAATTCCATCCCATTTGGACAAATATTAGACGTTTGGTGCACAATAGAAAGTAAATCGGACGAAGTTATATATGGGAGCTATATCCAAATCTGATACGATCTCGATAAAATTTAGCAAATGTATTTCTGAGCTGTATTTGATATATTTCCCCAAATATTGTTGTTGCAGAGTGCATATTACGGCTGCGGAGGACAAAAATAACAAATCGGATGAACAATATATATGGGAGCTATAGCTATATCTGAACCGATTTCGATCAAATTTGGCATACTTATTTTCAGGCCTAATTTGGGTGTATATGCAAAATTCCATACAGATTGGGCTGATACTACACGTTTGGTGCACAATAAAAGGCAAATCGGACGAAGATATATATGGGAGCTATATCTAAATTTTGACCGATTATCTCAAATTTCAATAGGGTTCGTCCTTGGATCAAACAAATGATCTGTGCAAAATTTCATCTGGATCGGGCAATAAATGCGACCTGTACTTTTTTTACAAAAATACATGGACAGACGGACAGACGGATTCTATGCAGATCATCAAAAGGAACTATGGGTCTATCTCGTTTCCTTTTGCCTGTTACAAACAAATGCACAAAGACATAATACCCTGACCACCTTGTGGTGTAGGGTAGAATAATGGCCTCCTAGCTAGCAGCTAGAATGCAGAGAACAAATAAGACCAGGATATCGGAGGGCCTGGTGAATAAAGAGAGGATTGAATTTAGGCAACTATGTAGGAAATCTTCAATTTAACAATAAGAAGACCTTATGGTCTTCAATAAGATTTCGTGGTTTTCTGTAAGAAGATCTACTGGTCCTCTATAAGATATTCTATGAGAAGACCTTCCAGTCTTCTATGAGAAGACCTTCCAGTCTTCTATGAGAAGACCTTCCAGTCTTCTATGAGAAGACCTTCCAGTCTTCTATGAGAAGACCTTCCAGTCTTCTATGAGAAGACCTTCCAGTCTTCTATGAGAAGACCTTCCAGTCTTCTATGAGAAGACCTTCCAGTCTTCTATGAGAAGACCTTCCAGTCTTCTATGAGAAGACCTTCCAGTCTTCTATGAGAAGACCTTCCAGTCTTCTATGAGAAGACCTTCCAGTCTTCTATGAGAAGACCTTCGAGTCTTCTATGAGAAGACCTTCGAGTCTTCTATGAGAAGACCTTCGAGTCTTCTATGAGAAGACCTTCGAGGCTTCTATGAGAAGACCTTCGAGTCTTCTATGAGAAGACCTTCGAGTCTTCTATGAGAAGACCTTCGAGTCTTCTATGAGAAGACCTTCGAGTCTTCTATGAGAAGACCTTCGAGTCTTCTATGAGAAGACCTTCGAGTCTTCTATGAGAAGACCTTCGAGTCTTCTATGAGAAGACCATCGAGTCTTCTATGAGAAGACCTTCGAGTCTTCTATGAGAAGACCTTCAAGTCTTCTATGAGAAGATCTTCCAGTCTTCTATGAGAAGACCTTCCAGTCTTCTATGAGAAGACCTTCCAGTCTTCTATGAGAAGACCTTCCAGTCTTCTATGAGAAGACCTTCCAGTCTTCTATGAGAAGACCTTCCAGTCTTCTATGAGAAGACCTTCCAGTCTTCTATGAGAAGACCTTCCAGTCTTCTATGAGAAGACCTTCCAGTCTTCTATGGGAAGTCCTTCCAGTCTTCTATGGGAAGTCCTTCCAGTCTTCTATGAGAAGACCTTCCAGTCTTCTATGAGAAGACCTTCCAGTCTTCTATGAGAAGACCTTCCAGTCTTCTATGAGAAGACCTTCCAGTCTTCTATGAGAAGACCTTCCAGTCTTCTATGGGAAGTCCTTCCAGTCTTCTATGGGAAGTCCTTCCAGTCTTCTATGAGAAGACCTTCCAGTCTTCTATGGGAAGACCTTCCAGTCTTCTATGGGAAGACCTTCCAGTCTTCTATGGGAAGACCTTCCAGTCTTCTATGGGAAGACCTTCCAGTCTTCTATGGGAAGACCTTCCAGTCTTCTATGAGAAGACCTTCTATCAGGTACTGCAGTAAAAAAATCTCATCCATTTTTTTGAAATACGTATACAATTTTATTGACTTTCTATAAATAAATATATGTATGTATGTAGTGGTGAATGTATTTCTAATAAATGTGTGTGTGTGCCTTAAAACTAGTATCACATTTGGTTCTTTGAGATCGTTTTGGCCCCTGGGAATGAGGTAATATGTTCCTGTATTTAGTATATGTTAGGTAATTTTGAAGACCGCCTAATCCGTGTGACCAGTTTCCATTTTACTCTCGGCCGCATGGGCCTCCCCATGGCGATTTTCCACATGTTTCTGTAGATCCCGCCTTCGGGCAAATGTTTTGTGACACAAAGTACATTGATATACCTCCGATCCTGGCGTGCCTTGTCCCCCATGTCCCGACGATGACGTTTGTAAATGTAAACGAATGTGTTTATTCAGATTACTTGGATCGCCAAAAGGCCTTAGGCAATATTTACACTTGAGCGGTTTGAACCCGGTATGAGTGCGTATGTGAATTTTCAAACCATATTTGCGGGAATACATTTTGCCACAATAGATACAGAGATGACCCTGTTTGGAGGCACCCATATTACTGACAATGGCCTCGATTTGAGCGGCGGCATTAAGGGGATTTGTACTGGGGGGCGGGTGTAGCAGACTCATGTGAGGAAAACCGGCCGTTGAAAAGGTGGGCAGGAATGACATATGCGGTGCTGGCGTGGAGGTGTGTAGATGTGGCTGACCACTGAGAGCTGTGGCCAGGGATACGGGCAATGAGGTGGCTGGATGTGGGGCGTTGGCTCGGCCGCCAGCTGGTGTGGCCAACGAAATTGGCTTGAAGGCGGAAAATCTGGGCGGTGGTGATGAGCATGATGTTTGTGCTGGACCAGGTGGTGAGTATGAGGGCGATAGGCTGCGCATGGAACTTGTAGAGGATTGAGGCACACTAATGTTCGCCGTTGTTGTTGTCGTTGTGGTGCTGCCGGAACTAATCATGTGTGGTGAACTCCGTGCCGTTGTGGCATTACCCACCAAGGGCAGTGTAAAAAGTTGCTGACTATATTGCTTGGCCTTGAGGGCATAGTGTAGGCGTATCCATAGAACATCAATGTTGTGACGTCCACAACCCAAGGCCAGGTGTATTTTTAGAGGATTCGGTGTCTCAAAGGTCAAATGGCACCAGTGACACATATACCTATTGTTACCTTGAATATTCAGAGGGGTGAGAAAAGGAATGGCCATGAGCAGGGTTAGCTCCTCACCAAACCAGGCCACAATCTCCTCATCACGTTGCACATCACGTACCACACGCAATTGCACCTGTCCATTGTGCAACTCGAAGAGGGCATTGTAGCTATGGATATCCTCGGAGAGCTTAATTTTACGCATTATGGAGGCATTCAGAATGAGAACATCTCCCTTGGGCGATAGCGAACAATAGGCACGTGCCAGTGGCTCATTGTTGGCCATTTCTGGGTGGCTGGCAGTGAGGAGGGCATGACTGTCAATTAAAATCGATGTGGTATCCTTGGGTATTAACTGGGTCACATGGACTCCAGCTCGAATGATTTTCGATTTTTTGGGTGAGCTGGAGGCTGAGGGACTGCCATTTTTCTCCCGTGTTGCAGCTGCGGGAGATGTAGGTGCTGCCGGTGGCGATGATGATGACCCCGGAACTGTTGTGTTGGCCGTTTGAGGCAATAAATGTTCAATGCGGAATATCATACTGGAGCTACGCTTATTTGGACTACTCGGTGTGGGACTTTGACGACTGCTGCCTCGGCTATTATCCACTAAATGATGATTCTGTTGTTGCTGTACTATGCTATGTGAGGTTGGCAATACCGGAAGCATATTTCGATGAACTTATGCTCTGGGCGGTTGGCTGTCTGATGATGATGTTGCACGTTCGATGTCTAACTTGATTCTGAACTCCAATTGGAAATGTCCTTTTGCTTTTATATGGATGCGATGCGGCGGCAGAGCCGGCAAGTACCACGTGTTCGCAATCAGAATTTTTGGGTTTTGCAAAACCCTTATCCTTATTGGGTGGCTGGCATTAGGGGTTCTATCCATTTGCGATTTGTGCTAAACGATTTGTTACGGCTCGCAGTGTCAAAACACAACAAAACAATCTAAGCTGACAACATGTGCCAACAAGTGTTAAAATTCCCAGCGTTTGCGCGCCTGTATGAGCCGTAGCGGCAGCGACAGCTACAGCCAGGATAACAAACATTGCATACCCCAACAGCCGGGTACACAAGACAAGTTGTTTTCCAACATTCCTTGCTTGTGTAAGTCGCAATCAGGGTGGTTGGTTCAAACGTTGGTTGGTGGCACAAGTGCAGCAGCATCCCGTACAGCAGCAAGTGTACAATTTTCCAACACTACTTGACTCGACTCTGAACACACTTCGGCCATCCCTCCCCTCCCCTCTTTCATTATCGAGGATATCAGTGAGTGCGTTTTTCAATTGTCCTTGTAAGCCTTTTTGGCTTTTCAATTGCATGCGTGAGTCGGGGTGTGTTCGTGTGCGTGTGGGCATTAAAAGGTTTTTAATTGAATATAAACGATCGTGTTCCGAACAAATCTGTTTTGCCCTCCAACCCCCTTTTGTTGGCTATCAAATGGGTGCTTTGTTGTTATTGTTGCTGTTACTTCTGGAAAACCATCCCCTAACCACGAGGCCTTGTCATAATAATTGACTAATGCCTTAATTATTAGCTATATTTTGTGGTTTAGGGTTGGTCGTGGTTTTTCGCCACCGGGTGCAGGGATCAAATAAGGCCAGGACAGCCAAGGGCCTGAGAAATGAAGGAATGAAGGAAACAACTAAGGAATTTATGTTTTAAAAGAACACCATAAGAAGACCTTGCGGCTTTCTATAAGATATTTCGATACGATTACAATCTAAGGGGGACAGAACAGGATTGGTTCCAATGGCGCCCAACCTTAGGTAGCGATAAACTATATTCAATGCTTGCCTCATATTATAAACTCGATTCTAAAATTCAAGGCATATTTTTCTTTATTTTTACAATTTCTATGATTAAGTGGCGCCCAACGTAGGGCAAAACACCTCAAATACGAAAGTTGGAAGACCTTCTGGTGGCCTTCTATGAGAAGACCTGATGGTCTTCTATGAGTAGACATTTTTTGTGGTCCTCTGTGAGAAGACCAACTGGTCTTCTATGAGAAGACCTATTGGTCTTTTATGAGAAGACCTACTGGTCTTCTATGAGAAGACCTTCTGCTGATCTTCTATGAGAAGACCTTCTGCTGATCTTCTATGAGAAGACCTTCTTCTGGTCTTCTATGAGAATACCTTCTGCTCTTCTATGAGTAGACCTTCTTCTGCTCTTCTATGAGAAGACCTTCTTCTGGTCTTCTATGAGAAGACCTTCTTCTGGTCTTCTATGAGAAGACCTTTTTCCGGTCTTCTATGAGAAAACCTTTTTCCGGTCTTCTATGAAAAGACCTTCTTCCGGTCTTCTATGAAAAGACCTTCTTCCGGTCTTCTATGAAAAGACCTTCTTCCGGTCTTCTATGAGAAGACCTTCTTCGGGTCTTCTATGAGAAGACCTTCTGCTGGTCTTCTATGAGAAGACCTGCTGCTGGTCTTCTATGAGAAGACCATCTTCTCCTCTTCTATGAGAAGACCTTCTACTGGACTTCTATGAGAAGACCTTCTTCTGGTCTTCTATGAGAAGACCTTCTGCTGGTCTTCTATGAGAAGACCTTCTGCTGGTCTTCTATGAGAAGACCTTCTGCTGGTCTTCTATGAGAAGACCTTCTGCTGGTCTTCTATGAGAAGACCTTCTGCTGGTCTTCTATGAGAAGACCTTCTGCTGGTCTTTTATGAGAAGACCTTCGAGTCTTCTATAAGAAGACCTTCGAGGCTTCTATAAGAAGACCTTCGAGTCTTGTATAAGAAGACCTTCGAGTCTTCTATAAGAAGACCTTTTGGTCTACTATAAGAAGACCTTCTGCTGGTCTTCTATGAGAAGACCATCTTCTGGTCTTCTATAAGAAGACCATCTTCTGGTCTTCTATAAGAAGACCTTCTGCTGGTCTTCTATGAGAAGACCTTCAGCTCTTCTTTGAGAAGACCTTCAGCTCTTCTATGAGAAGACCTTCCGCTCTTCTATGAGAAGACCTTCCGCTCTTCTATGAGAAGACCTTCCGCTCTTCTATGAGAAGACCTTCCGCTCTTCTATGAGAAGACCTTCCGCTCTTCTATGAGAAGACCTTCCGCTCTTCTATGAGAAGACCTTCCGCTCTTCTATGAGAAGACCTTCCGCTCTTCTATGAGAAGACCTTCCGCTCTTCTATGAGAAGACCTTCCGCTCTTCTATGAGAAGACCTTCCGCTCTTCTATGAGAAGACCTTCCGCTCTTGTATGAGAAGACCTTCCGCTCTTGTATGAGAAGACCTTCCGCTCTTGTATGAGAAGACCTTCCGCTCTTCTATGAGAAGACCTTCCGCTCTTCTATGAGAAGACCTTCCGCTCTTCTATGAGAAGACCTTCCGCTCTTCTATGAGAAGACCTTCCGCTCTTCTATGCGAAGACCTTCCGATCTTCTATGGGAAGACCTTCCGCTCTTCTATGAGAAGACCTTCCGCTCTTCTATGAGAAGACCTTCCGCTCTTCTATGAGAAGACCTTCCGCTCTTCTATGGGAAGACCTTCCGCTCTTCTATGAGAAGACCTTCTGGTCTTCTATGAGAAGACCTTCTGGACTTCTATGAGAAGACCTTCTGGACTTCTATGAGAAGACCTTCTGGTCTTCTACTGGTCTTCTATGAAAAGACCTTCCAGTCTTCTTTGAAAAGACCTTCCAGTCTTCTTTGAGAAGACCTTCCCGTCTTCTATAAGAAGACCTTCTGGTCTTTTATGAGAAGACCTTCTGGTCTTCTATGAGAAGACCTTCTGGTCTTCTATAAGAAGACCTTCTGGTCTTCTATGAGAAGACCTTCTGGTCTTCCATGAGAATACCTTCTGGTCTTTTATGAGAAGACCTTCTAGTATTCTGTGAGGAGACCTTCTGGTCTTCTATGAGAAGACCTTCTGCTGGTCTTCTATGAGAAGACCTTCTGCTGGTCTTCTATGAGAAGACCTTCTGCTGGTCTTCTATGAGAAGACCTTCTGCTGGTCTTCTATGAGAAGACTATCTACTGGTCTTCTATGAGAAGACCATCTTCTGGTCTTCTATGAGAAGACCATCTTCTGGTCTTCTATGAGAAGATGGCCACATGAAGATGGCCATGAGAAGACCATCTTCTGGTCTTCTATGAGAAGACTTTCTGGTCTTCTATGAGAAGACCTTCTGGTCTTCTATGAGAAGACCTTCTGGTCTTCTATGAGAAGACCTACTGGGGTTCTATTAGACCTTTAGTTTCTATAAGAAGACCTTCGTTTGGTCTTCCATGGGAAGGCCTTTTGATTTTCTGTAAGATGACCTTCTTGTCTTTTATAAGAAGACGTTGTGGTCTTCTGTAAGGCGTCCTTCTTCTGGTCTTATCTAAGAAGGTCTTCTGTAGGAAGACCACTTTGCAAAGGCCCTCTCTCTCTTCCCTCAGTCAATTCATCCCTGTCATCCCAAACTAAAGCCGATAGTTTTTAAGTATTTTCATAACACAATTAATATGTTTAACATCATTCCTTCGGCGACACAAAACAACAATAAGAGACGTAATGAAAAAACAAATGGAAAAAAAGGATCAACAGGACATCAATATATGCGTATCCGTACATAAACTGTGATGATGTTCTTATCTGATTGTTTCGCCCAAGTTTTGTGTGCAAATCAGAAAAAACATGTGTTTCAGGTCACATGACACGCGCCGGGCTACAAATCGTCATTTATACCCTCGCTTCGATGGATGTCGGCGGCAGGGATGGTGGTTGGATGCTTCAGTGCGGCATGGTTATGGTGTTTGCTTGTTTTTAACCAGAATATCGTTCTTGGATGCTCTGGTACAATGCAGTTGGTAATGTTTTTCGAAGCGACCTGGTTTTTGAAAATCACAGCTGGTTGAGTTTGTTTTTATTCCAGTTTACAATTTGCGGCCCGTTCAAGTGCTTTATTAAATAGAACGACGAAGCAAGCGAACCTAATAGAAATGCAAAAATAACATTGAATGGTGGATTGGTTTAATTTAAAATGAAAAAATTAAGAACGATTGCCCTGAATGTTTGTGTGGGAGTCAATGCACATGTTTGAAGATTGAAATTATATTGACTGGTGCAGCGCAGGTTGTGGAATCGTAAGAGGAAAATTAAGGATGGTTGGATGGATAGATCTAGAGTTGGAGTGGTATTGGAATTATGAATGTTTTTGCAAGTATCACAAAAAATCTCCAATTAAACTTTAAAAGTTGAGGTTTTTTTCAGTAGGTACTTCAAAAATGTTTCTAAAAATTGCGATTTTTGGTTAAAAGGAATTTTAAAATTGTTCAAATTTCTTGGTCAGAAGGTAATGGAAAGACAATGTTTTTGTAAAAATTCAAGATTCCAATTCATGTTTTGGGAGAAAATTCACGATTTTCGCTCAGAAGACTTAGAAAAAATAAAAAAAAATTATTTTTGTCCGGGAAGGCCATTAAAAAATTGAGTCAGAATATATTTGAATATCTTTTATTAAAAAATGTTTTGAGGGATTAACAGAATCCTAAACGAGGATCTTGTAAATTTTTTTTGACCTACTCGTAGTCCATGAAATAAAAAAATGATTTTTAAGCGACTTATAGCGCCCCCGTAACGTTTTTATTTTAGGGGGACTATCTGAACATCAACAGTTAAAATTTTGAATAATTTTTGAGCGGCTATTTGAGCCTTGAACGAAGATCATTATTCTAGTCACAGATTTTTAAATGTTTTTTAATACTTGTCTGAGCGCCAAACCTTGTACCTATCGGAGTAACAAACCAGATTTTTTGTAATAATTTTATAACGAAATCTGAGCCCCGAAATTTGGATTTTCTTAAAAAAATTTTTTGAGTGAGTAGCTAAGACCCAAA